CGAACCCTTTGCTTGGCTTTCGCATCACGAATACTTTGGTGGAAGTTGTATAGTCTCACAAGATTTCAATTTTCTGATGTTCACTCGATTTCAGCCATGTGAGGATCAGGGTGGTGAACACTACTGTGTCGGTGTACAGAAGCATGGAATGTGCGATAAAGCAGCTTTCCAGAAATTTGTGAAAGCATTTTGTGCTAAAACTTGCAAACTTTGCGAGTGATAGCCGGCAGATGGCACACTGACAGTAATAAACATAGGCATTATCTTTGTTTTGGTTCACTTCTACCGTAGTCACTTTTTCGAGTTTCCGGAACCATACACTGAGCTAGGAGCTAGTTACATGATTTATAAGGCACAGTCAACATCTACTTTTCTAATTACACTTGTACCTCAGTTGATTTTTTTCGATGCTCAAACTATGGTAATATATCAATGAGGTTGTGACAGAAGATGCGCATGTCTTCAGTGATGTGATGAAAAAACACATTGTCCACGAAAAACACGGGTTTAACTTCGAATAACTTCCAACACCAAGCCTTTTACTCAAAGTGTTACTCCTCTGAAAATCATCACTTTCAACTTTTTCTTCTTTCTTTCGAGTGTGTTCTATACCTTACCCATTTTGGAGAGAAGGGAGCGGCAATGGGACCATCAAAACAGTGGCAACGTATCGTGAATGCGATCGACCCCGGTGGTAAAGGTAGTTCAACATCTACCTAAATGGTTCCCGCAAATTGTAAGATAGATGCTACAAGGACTAAGCCTACCTAAAGCAAGCTCAGCTCTTATACCGAAGAATTCCGGCATGAGCGGGAAAGGGATTTCAAAAAATACGATTCTGCGGCAGTAGCCCTACTCAAGAGGAGCTAAAAACTGAAACGGCATGACTATCGTCCAAAACACAACCCACCTTACTCTACCAAACATCGAACAATGTCTACACAAATATAGAAACATGCCTATTAATCAGGCGAGTAGAAGAAAGGGGACAAATGTCAAACGAACCGCCCACAGCCAGAGGCCGACTATTTTTCAAGGCGACATCTTATGAGTTAGCTCCGGGTGTGGCAGTAGGATCGGAAATGTCGCGTCGCGGCGAGAGGGACGCCGCGCGCAGAGGATTGTAGCAGAATGCAGCATCAGGTATGAAATACAGGAAGAAAAGAAGGAACAGTAAAATCATGACTATAGTAATGATCGCAAATCGATTGAGCTGAATGAAGAACCCTGAGTTGTAATAACGGCGAAGCAAATGGTCCGCGACAGCCGCGTGCGGCGAATCGATCACACAAAACCGATCCTACTGCCCGTCTCCCGGTGGCTTCATATTTGGACCCCTAGAACATCGGTCCCGTTTCTTCAGAGGTCATACCCCTAGAACATCGGTCCCGTTTCTTCAGAGGTCAGAGGCGATGGTGGGTTAACAGTGCTCTTGGTTATTCAGACTGGCACACGGCCACCAAGGGGCTCGCGCTACCTTAATTTCCAGTTCGGATTGCAAAAGTATGCAAACAAACTAGGAAGAGCATGTTGTGTTTCGCCCATCGAATTGAAGGCAATCAGAGACCTTGCCTTTTTTGTCTATCTCCTGCGAAATGCGGATTAGGTATAATCAGCGGAACAGGTGTGTTCACATGTGTATCTATGCGAAAGGCCTTACCAAAATATTCTGCGAACTGATGTCGTCACTCATTATTTGTGGAAATCATGCCATGTGAAATACCATGACATAGACATCAAAGAAATGCTGAGCCACAGAAGAGGATGGATTGTTCGATTAAAGAAAGGGAAAGAAAAGCTCAGGGAAAGAAATGAATGCGTAGAAGCCTCCAACTCCTCGCTTTATCCGCTTCATTCGGGAAAAATCAAAGGCAGAACAACACTGGTTGTCATACAGCTAGGAAATGCTGATTGTTTGATGGTAACAGTACATCGGTATCGCTTAGCAAGCAAGTCCTTCTGTGGGCGT